CCAAGTTTTTCTTTCTTGGTTATTTCTCTCTCAATAACTAACAATATACATACATTTGAAGTTGGTTAAATGAACAATAATCGAAAGGATCAAGGAGTCCTTTGGTTCCACACCTTCATATGTATCAGATACAACAGAGACTGCTGATAAGTTATAGTGAAGGTAACCTTTGAAACTGTCCAGAGTATGCTTAGTCGAAACCACTCTCTTAGCAGGTTTTTGAGCATCATTTTTTAGGATGTTAAAAATATTTCCACAAGTAAACCAATTTGGATAAGGCGGAAAAAACGCTAAACCAAAGTCATCATTTGGTAGTTTTGGAAATTTTGGTGGTTGTAATCGAAAAGCTAGTTCATATCTATGTTCAGGCTTTATAGAAGATGGAATTTTTAGGCTTTAAGTTTTTTAGTAAATTTCTCTTTCAAAGTTTTTGATGCATCAAAAATAGTTCGAATAATATTAGTTGGATCATAGACAGTTTCAAAGTATCTCTGGAACGTCTTAATTTCTTTGATGTGTGTGAACTTACCTTTTTGAATATTTTCCTGCACGAACGAAAAAGCTTTCGTTAAACGTTTGCTTATCTGAGTAGTGCTGAACATGTTCTTGGTATAAAATTCAGTCCACCAAGAGTAAAAACTTTTAGTTGTGTAGAAAGCTGATTGAAACAAAGTAAGTTTAAATTCAACAAAATTGGCATGATAGTTCTGATACTTTGCAATATCCTGAAAGACATAATCCACTCCTGCTACACAAATCTCTTTCTTTCGATTAAAGATAGGTTCAGGAACAAGTTGACATAACCCAAACTGGCGGGATACAAAATTGGGTTGGTAGGCCAATAAAAAGACACGGCTCTTCACTGGCATGATCCTGGATATTAGAAGCCTTGGTAAAAGGAATGCATGCCATATGTCTTCGATTTCTGAATCAACATTCTTCAAAGCATCTTCGATGGATGAGGTAAACCATGCAGGACCATGGGTTCGATAAGCAAAAGGAGCCATAGTTGGGACAAAATCATGACAATTTGAAAACATCATCATATAATTGGTGAAATTTTTTTGGAGATTTTCTGCCTCTTCATTTGGGGTTAATTGTAGAAGTCTGATTCCTTCAATGGTCTGATTGGAAATATCAAGATCTTCTTCATCTATGGTCTTAAAGGTGCTAAGTGATGGCTCAAAAGTGGCCTTTAGCCACAGCTGAAGAAGCCAATATAGGCCAACAAGGAGCAGATTGGTACCGGTTTCATAGCTTTTTAATTTAGAAGTAGCGGACCCTAAACTCTCATAAAGATCAGCTAAGAGCAATTCACTCAAACATATCTTTCGACCAGAATGCAATTGGTTGGCTATGGTTAAAAATCTCCTAGCAACTTGTAGTCATTTGCAGCAAAAAATGTACTTTGACAACCATAAGGCAAGGAAAGCTATGTGTTCAATATCTGTGACTTCATCCCCCTCAGTATGATACTAATTCATATAAGTGGTGAAACTAGCATTTTTAACTTGGAAGTTAATGGTGCTGTCTGATTGCAAGTAACTGTCAAAGGTTTCTCCATTTGAAGGAAGTCTAGTTATTGCAGCTATGTTAAAAAGAGTGGGAGTCATCATCCCACAAGGAAGATGAAAAGTATTATAGGTGCTATCCCAAAAATATAAAGACGCTAATAGAAAAGGTTGACAATAACTGAATCCAAATTTTGACATTTGAAATAAGTCAAAGATACCCAGATCGTTCCAGTCTTGAGATTTTTTCTTTTCGATTTTGGAAATCCAAGACAGATAAAGCTTATCTAATGAGGGGCATGAGCGAAAGGGTTTAAAGTTTTCAGTTATGTAATCTAATTGAAAAACTTCTTTCTTTGTTTTAGAAATTGAGGTCTCCTCAAAACTTTTTTCTTTGGAAGTTTTTGTGGGTTTCTTAGCAAAATCGTCATCATTTTTCTTAGCAAAATTGGCTCCATTAGCTATCGGCTTAGTCTCACGAGAAAAAAATCTATAAATTTTTCCTGATTTTCAGCAGAAATCAAAGGCCCCATAAAACATAGGGTTTTATCAGCGAGAGAGGAAGGAATGAGTACATGGGAAGGATAAATAGCTTTTTGTTCTGGAGTAAATTTGGGAGTAGAGATGAATTCTTAATTTTCAGTGGTCATAAGTTCACTAACAAGCCCAGATTGAAGAGCAACGTTCTTTGAAGTTCTTGTTCCTTTGGTGTTATTGGATTTGTTTCTTGGATGATAATATTGTTGAGATAAGTGTTGGATTGAAATTTGAAAAATGAGTTTTGTTTTTGAATTTTTTGGAAGATTGAAAGTTATAGAAACGGAAGTGTGAAGATGAAGATGAAGTGTTTATAAAAGACTTATAGTGGTTGAGAATTTTACACTATAACAAGTTAGTGGGACATATGTGCTTCTGTTATAATAAGAGGAAGAAGTTAAGTTATTTTTTCATGGAAACTGTTTTCATAAGTGGTAATGATGAACTGCTATGTGCACGTCTAAATAGACGTTTAGAAAAAGGTGATTACTTTTTATGACGTCACAACAGTAAAAGGTTATCATGAGTATATGGTTTATCGAAATTCAAGATTATTATTCAAAAATGACTATTTCTCTACATAACGAAATACACATTTTTTAGGGGCAATTTGTTGGCTTGGAATTTTGATTACAACGGTTGTTTGAACGCATTAATATTGTTTTTGGTGTTTGGGCTTCGTTTGGATTGAATTGAGTAAAATTCCAAGCGTTTGAAATGGTTCGATGGACAGACAAAACAGATATAATAAATATTCGTTAGGTATATTTTGAAATCGAAAGTTTTTGGATATATATGTCGAAAACTTGGCGCCAACAGAAGAGAGGAATTTGAATTTAAAATCGAATATTTGAGTCATAGAAGACGCGTTGAAGTCTGACGGATTCGAAGGACATGCAATCTTAGAACGTGGCACTCTATTATAGAAAGACCGTTAGGGTCAAATTAGTATAAATATGGATCTTAATATTAGGATTCAAGGGGTGTTCATTTTGTACAAATTACTCAATATACTCGAAGTACCAAGTGTTAGAGAAAAGAGTTGCAGAAAATGTACGTATAGACACCATTATTGTTCTTTTCGAATCATTTTACTTTATCAATATCAAGTCTTTTAACATTTTCAGTGTTTCCTTTACTTTTTAGTCAAAACTTTTACTTTTTTCAAGTCATTTATATTTATTTTGCATTTCCTTTACGTTTCCAATAGAAACCTTTACATTACTCATTCGAAACCCTTTTATTCGAACTTACTTTAAATTATAATTCTAATCTTTATATTGTTATCAACAAAATAATGTTAAACATGAATCCCATTACAAGTTTAATCTTAGAAACTTAGACACATGTCCTAGAATCAATATAATCGATCCTGCAAGTTACCAAAATATTTAGTTTGGAGAACTAGCGGTTATTTACAAAATTCACGCGTAAACACCTACACAGATCAAGGTCAGGTCAGACTTTTTTTAAATAGAAAATGCATAAGTTTTTTTATAAGTCTATTTAGTTAAATAGGCTAGGTCACAGGTAATAAAAAAACATTTTAAACTTATCAGACTGATTTATTTTAATAAATATGAATAAATTTATTATTTATTATATTATATTTTGTAATTTATATTAAAATACAAAAAAAAAATTCGTAAGTTCTTTCAAACAAATAATCTCACAAAACTTATGTTATTATGTAAGCTCAAATAAGTCAATATAAACAAATATTTAGTCTCATTATACGTTTGATTCTCTAGTATATTTAAACATTAGTTGAATTGCGTATTTACACGTGTTCAAATGATCTAATAGACTAATCAGATATTTGAAAATGTCAGGCTTAGGCCAAAAAATAAGTCTATGATAAATCACCGATCAAATTTAGGCTTTGAATTTTTTAATAGGCCAAATTCAAATTTAATAAAATCTAACACGGTCCAACCTATTCTCATTCCTAATACAAACATTATTCGCCATTAAATTATTAAACAATAATAAAAATGCTATATTCATAAAAATAACTTTTAAATTGGGGGCATTAAGGATTTTATTTATTTATTTTAGAGGCATATGACTTAGAGTTTAATTGTTATATATTGTTAGTGTAAATTTTTTTAACCAACAATCATTAAAATGTAATATTTAAAAAAAAGTTAAAATTAAAGTCAATTTTTTTAAATAAATTAACGATTCTGATTCATTAACTGTGTAAAACTTTTTACATGGTTAATATATTTCAATTAAATTATTTTTACATAATTTATTGTTATTAAATTTCACATTTTCATATACAGTTTTGGATTAGTCTACACGAGTTGTGTGCAATGGTACTATACTACTATTTGAGAGCGAACACAACCGTGAGAAAGAAATAGCGCAACAAAAATATCTAACTACTTTTGCACTATCGTTGACCGGTAACCGACTCAACAGGTCTAACACCATGAGAGAAAAAAATGTTTATATATTCCTTTCCCTCTTAAAAAGGCTCATAAAGCAAAAGTCTCGCTTCCCTCTCTCTCATGGAATCTATCACTTGGTGATGCTTTTACTCTCTCCGGCGACGATTAACTCATCGCCGAACAAATGAGTTATGTTTCTTCCTTCTCAACTTCGTTCTGTGAGTCTCTCACTTTTTCCGGCGACCGGAGAAACTAACCGGCGTTATCACGTTAATTGAACTGCATCGTGTTTCTGTTTTATTCTTCGTTTTGCTTTTTCTTTCTCTCTATCTAACGGTTTTTCAACTGTTTTGCTTGCATTACCGTTATCATTCGATTCAATTGTTTCCGATCGGATTGTTGATCGGTTTTCGCCGTCAGATTCATCATCACCGGCGACGTTGAAAGTTAGTTCATCTTGTTTCAACTCCAATCTAACTAACTTCAATAAAAAATATTAATAAAATAAGAATAGAAAGAAAATTAAAGAGTTCAGTTAAGCTGAAGATAAAGCATTATGTTAGATCTTAATCTATACGATGCGAACTCGTCCGATTCGACTCAGGACATTGACTCGCCGATGATATCGGAGAAGTTTCATCTAACTTCATGGAATCAAATGATGGAATCAGGAACATCGAATTCCTCCATCGTCAATGCGGACGCGGACGGTTCAAGCAACAACGCAGGCGATGAGGACTCGTGCTCCACGCGCGTGAATGTGAATGACGTGTTCACCATCAGTTTCGATGTTCTTAAAATGGAAGGCTCAAACGACGTCGTAACGAAGGAGTTTTTCCCGGTGACTGGAGGAGGTGAAGGTTTGTCTAATAATTGGAAGTTGCAAGCTACGTCGTCGTTTCCGATTAGGAATGGTTCGGTTGATCTAACGTTTGATCAGAGAAAAGAAATGAAGTTTGTTCAGCCTCCACAACAAGCGAAAAAGAGTAGGAGAGGACCGAGGTCTCGAAGCTCGCAATACAGAGGAGTCACGTTTTACAGAAGGACTGGTAGATGGGAATCGCATATCTGGTTAGTGAATTTCGTAGTAATTTGAAATTAGTTTTGTTTTTATTTTTGTTGAATTCACCTCTATAATTTATATATATGGAGTTTGATTTTGGTAGGTTATGATTGAATTGAATTACATCTGACACGTTTTTATGATTGAATTTTATAATTATTCTTCGGTGTAGGGATTGCGGGAAACAAGTTTATTTAGGTATGGGTTATTAATTTATGAATTAATTATATTCTATGAATTACTATTTTAAGAATTGTTTAATTTTTGATGAAATTCGTGTTTATTTTTGTAGGTGGATTTGACACAGCTCATGCTGCTGCTAGGTAAATCTTTGAATCTATTTCATTTTTTGGTTATTTCTTTTTTTTTTAAATTGTTGAATTGACTTGGAGTTTTCGATATCAGAGCCTATGATCGAGCTGCTGTTAAGTTCAGGGGAGTTGGTGCTGACATAAATTTCAATCTGAATGATTATGAGGATGATCTTAAACAGGTTAGAGAATTCTCAAGTATTTGATGAATTCGAAACTAGATAGATTGTTTGATGTAATTTTTCAATATTTTCTTATTTAGACGGAGAATTTATCCAAAGAAGAATTTGTGCACATACTTCGTCGTCAAAGTACTGGTTTCTCAAGAGGGAGTTCAAAATACAGAGGAGTAACACTCCACAAGTGTGGCCGTTGGGAAGCTCGAATGGGACAATTCCTTGGCAAAAAGTGAGGACCTATTTTTAATTCAACTCAAGTAGTATAATATGATTATATGAGATATTAGGAATTCTAGTATGTAATGTAATGGCTTCCATAGCAAATCAGTTTCAGCTTTTAGCTCTTAATGCGTCATTAGGCTCTCTTTCATGTTAGGAGAAACATGTCAAAGATAGTAGTAAGATGCATGTTTCTGAGAAAGAATTGGCAAAGGTGTTTTGGTTATAGAGGTTGCAATGCTTTCCTGCAGGTATATATATCTTGGGTTATTCGACAGCGAAGTAGAAGCTGCAAGGTCGTAATCACTAATGTGAATTATATTACTTGCACTGAATTTGTTACCCTGAATTATAAAGCTCATTAGGATTGCATCCGACATGTATTTCCCTTTTGATTTTCTGAAAATCAGGGCTTATGATAAAGCAGCTATCCAAAGCAATGGAAGGGAAGCAGTGACTAATTTTGAGCCCAGCACATATCAAGGAGAGATGAAATCTGCATTCATCAATGATGGTAATAAACACTATAGAAAAGATCTTATTTAAATTAAGAAGTGATATTTGGAATATTATTAAAATGTTCTTTATGTGAAATCCTTTTTATTTCAACACAGGCAGCAGTCCAAATCTTGATCTCAATTTGGGAATAGCCAAACCAGGACCAGGTCCCAAAGAAAATTGGGAGAAATTTCACTTTCCCTCTGTTTCTTACACAAGTTCAAGGGTATTTTATTTGAGCTTTACATATACATTTACTTTAAGTTTCTTCTAATTTGTGCTGAACAAAAAGTTGATAATACTCTTTATACTCGGGAAGAACAGCTCTTGTTATCTTCATAAGTTCACTTGTAGCTAGTTACCACCTGTTTTCCTTTGATGCCTTCATATTTGTATAACTTTTCAAAGTTGGTGTTTTAGTATTAATTCTTGGTTTCCTACTGAGTTGTCATAATTGGTTGGGTTCTCTTCATTTGCAGATGGAAACCAATGTTTCAGGAATCGGTAATTCATCTTTAAAAAGGTTATTAGTAACTGAAGAGCATCATTCTTTACGGAATGACACGTATCCCGGTTTCTTTCCCAATGAGGTGATTTCACTATCTAGCTTTTAGTTTTATAACTGAAGTCGATTGCTTGAACCTCTTATCACTATTTCTTCAAACCTTCTCAATTATCCATGTTAGTTAGAGTTCATTAATACACTAACAACTGATTCACTTCTAAATGATATACTTGACAGTAATAGATGATTTTAAATGTTTAGTGATTAACTAATGAATTCTATGAACTTCTGGTAGTTGGTATAATCTATTACTGAGCAATCAAGAGAAGTAGTCCATATTGAGTTTATATATATAACTTAGAGTCTTAGACTAATTTACATCTTCATATAATTTCTTTAGACTAATTTACATCTTCATATGATTTTGATATATCGAATTGTATTTAATATTTGTTTCATGTCAATCAATCTTTTAAACAAAAATGAATTGGTTCAAAATGTGCCTAAAATATGTAGAGTGATCATGCTGGAAATCAACAAGACTGGTTCAGTGGAACTATCTTATTAATAAAATAAGATGAATATGGACTTCTGGACTATGGCTAGAGTTTGAAAACAATCCATCGGCATTCTGATTATATTGTAGTTGAATTTTCTGCTGCACCATTTTCTTTTTTTAGCCTGAAGGGATTTGGCAATGCAACATCAGGCATTGAGCTGTGATTGTAAAAGTTTGTTCAAATATTTTACAGGAAAGAGCAGATGGTATCAACAAAGCTCCTTTAAAAGGACTCCCCATTTGGGCGTGGCAAACTAATGGTCAGGTCACTGCTACCCCAGTGGCACGGGTCTCTGCAGCAGCATCATCAGGATTCTCAATTTCAGCTCCCTTTTCACCTACTCCCTTATTTCCACCAAGATCTATGAACTCAGTTCCCCACAGTCTCTATTTTACTTCGCCCAATGCTCGTCACAGCAACACATTTCAATAATATTATCAGGGTAAGTCCCTGCAAGCACCGCTCTAGCCTATCATCATGTACCACAGATGGAAAGCAAACCATAAAATGTGTTTGCGTTTGAAATTCTTATGATTCAGTGGCCGATTGATGTATAGTGAAACTTGACCACTGAATATCACCTCTTGCTTAAACCGTTATGCTATATTTCTAATGCACTGGTATTACAATAGTGTCGATTTCTTTAAGTTAGGATGTTTTGGCAGTTTACATTCATGAGATTTACCAGTTAATTTTTCCCTGTTTGAAAATTCATGATATTTGGCCACCAATCTTGAGATTATAGGCCCTGATTGTGCGTGGGATTGGGAGGAATGAAAGAGTTTTAAATTTTCCATTCTAAAACCAAACCTGATTTGATTGCATACATTATTATTTCATCAAAATTTCTAAGTATAGAGCAGTGCTCAATATATTCCATGATATAAATATAAATTTATTTGAGATTGAAGCTCCTTCTCCTCTAGTCTAGAGGTGAATGGGATCTAGTATTAAGGGGAGAATAACTGAACTCGAGGACATTTAATGAGCCACCCTGTAGTTTAGTAAAGCTGAGGATCGGTCTTGTCCAATAGCAATACCAATGGGGGGCAGAAATCACATTGCACATTGCACTACTTGTCATGGTAACTGATAGTATAACAACCCCAGTCAATGTTGGTACTTGATCACAATTTGACGAAGGAAACAAGCCGTACCTTTGAAATTGGATGTTAATGTTCATACATGTCACTTGTATTTTGATGTACCATCAGTACAAATGATCAATCATAGAAGAAGAGTTTGTTTCAGTGGGACCCAAAGATACATGTGTTAAATGTGCTTCAGGAAAGAGGAAGATATTGTTAAGCCTCACCGGCAAATAGGTAGGAGCCGTAGGATCCTCTCTATTTTTAAAAAATAAAAGACTTTGTTATTATAATTTTGGGTATATAATTATAATCATGTCACAAGTTTTTTATGAAATAAAGACCATCTCTTATATCCAAAAATTTGAGCTATGCCAATAGCTAAGAGAGGGAGATTTATCAGACAACTTGCTAGAATATAATTTGTTTTCAGTAAAATAATTTATTCAAATACTTAGAAAGAGCACGTTACAAGCATATTGATCGAACTTTAATAGGGCTTTCCCCATTCAAGTTAAAAGGTCAACTCTAAAGATAAAACCGACAAAGAATACACTAAGAATTACATGAGCATCAAATCAACATTTATTTTCTAGTTTTCAATCTATTAATTTTTTTCTCCCACGCCTACAGCCATAGACATTGATTAGATGATGAGATGCTATAGTGTATATTCCTATTAAAAAATGTATCAACTTAACGTTACTGTACTAGTAGAGAGTATTAAAAACCAAAACCTACTAACTGTTTTTGTCATACTGTCCTTTAATCCATTCCGGCCCACACGGTCTAACTAATAATTTTGGCAATTTATTAATACATTTTTATATATTTTTTTAATCCCTCACAAATTAATAAAACTATCTTTTATTTTCGAAGATACATCTCTGAACGCATTATTTTTTATTTTTTTTAAATTTTATTTCGGAGATATATATTTGAAATTATTCAATTTTTAAAAAAAATATATTTTCAGATATATACCTCCAAATAAATCTTATTTTTTACGATAAAAAGTGATTTCGGATATGTATATCCAAAAAAATTTCTGCTGTGAAAACCTCAAAAAAATCTTAACTTGCAATAGTGACTTTAGATCATCGATTTTGAACATTACTTCATGAGTATGTATTTTTATTGATTGCAGATCACATAAGACAAAAGTTCTTCCATTTTAAGCTACCATTTCGATCATTAAATACCATGTGTGGTTGTCATTCTTTACGGATATGTCAAAGTGGTTGGCGAAAATTCATAAGTGATTTTACCATGATTGTTATTTGACAGTACAATGGATTTAATAAAATTTTATGGACAAAAGAATAACTTGTTTTTTAATCAAATGCTTTAATGTATCATAATCTATGTTATAATTTCATAGTTATCTTACCAGTTTATGTAATTGTAAGCTCTTGTTGTCTTGATTTTGATGATGTTCAGGCACTAAATGTGATGACCGTCTTGCAAACAGTTTCTCCCTGTAACTTAAAAAAAACACAACAGATAACTTTTCGGATATTCATATCCAAAAACACATTTTTTCCATAAAAAATAAGCTTTATTCGGAGATGCATATGCGAAAACACTTTTTTTTTTCTGTTAAAAAATGGATAATTTTGAATATACATCTTCGAAATTATATTTTTTGTGAAAAAATATGCGTTCGGAGATATATCTCCAAATATAGAGGACTTTCTATCATTTCATCAAAAACCTCTAAAAAAACATATCGGTGTATTAAGAAATTGACATAATTTGAGACAACTTGTGTCTTGACACGCATGGGTATGGGTGGCAAACGAACATGTTCGTCTCGTTTAAGCCTGCCCTGCAAAAGCCCGCAAAAAAAAGGGCGGGATTGGACGAGCATAATTAAAGACGCGAGCCTAAAATCTAGCTTTACCCCGCAAAAAAATAAGGGTGGGATGGGGAAAACCCGTTGACACTCCACCTTTTAAGCCTAAAAATACAAAATTTTATGTAAATGTATGTGCCTGCAAAAGTCCGCGTAGAATCAAGACGGTCATATTAGAGGTTGTGGGCCTAAAATTTTGACTCACCACACACTAAAGTGCGGGCAAAACGGACGTGCCAAAACCGATTTTGTCATCCTTGCCATGAGAGATGAGAGGAGGGTAGCTTTCACTTGTATGCTGTTTTGGACTGAGCCCGCCTTGGCCCAAAGCACAAGTAAAGGCCCAGATCCAGGCAGCTCCTCGAGGAGTGCTCATAATCAGACCATCCCGAGTGTGCCCGAACACAGACCATAGCGGCAATGCCCGCTGTTACCCGCAACAAGCAGCGTCCCTGACCAAGGGCACTCCAGCTCAAGTCTTGCTCGAGCATCCTCCCCGTAGGGCAGATTCTATCCCCTCCGAACGTTATGGGATCCTTAAAGCCCCGGAAAGACCGCATCTTCGTTCTTCCTCATTCTTCACAGAGCACCATCCAGGAAGGGGACCACGTGCGGGTCCCCACTACACACATAAAACCTGGAAGTCCCTTTATTGGGTCAGTTATGGTCGGCGCAATGAGGGGACCTTGGCCCAGCGCTGGGGGCTATAAATACCCTCTACTTCAAGAGGGTCAGGTATTCATTCCTTACACACCTACAAACTTTTTGCCTGCTCATTCTGTCTCATTTTATCATCGGAGTGTCTTGCAGGTACCCCCCCCACTTCGTTTAAATTCAGTTCGAGCCAGCTGTGACGGTCCAAGTCTGATCCGGTAAGATCAGTGACGCCGTCTGTGGGAATCTAAGCTTCCCCGTCTTACAAACTTTCAAAGACCAAAGCTAAAAATCATCTTCCACCGTCATGGCTGACCAAATTCAGGACGACCAGAACATCCGCGTCGTCGATGCCAACAACAACCTCGCGGACAAGAACGGAGCCCCCGATAACTCCGACAACACCGACCATAATATACTCCCTGGGGGCGTCATCCTCGGGCCCTCAGGACACCGGGACAGAGCCACTGCCTCATCTTCTTCAGTCCCCCCTCCGCTCGAAGAAGACAATACAGCTCTCCCAAACCATCTAGTCGCCCAATTCCAGGAGGTCCCTGTCCCCGCCGGGGCAGATGCCACGACCAGAGCACTGTTCGCGGAAATCAACCAGACCAACTACCTCATCTTTGCCCAGGGGGAAAGATTTAGGGTGCTAGAGAACGACAGAAGACCCCCGAGGAGACACTGGAGGCCTCAGTCCCCGCCTCCTCGAAGAACAGAGGTACGTCTCTGTGATACGGTGGGAGAACTGACTGTGGTTTTGCGTTTGTTTTCGCAAATGTTTCGGTTGAGCAAGAGTCGCCACCGACTTTTTTATTTTATCCTAAGGAAAGGTTTAAAAAGCACAACAAAAACCTTTGAGATTTTTCTTGGGTTCGGGGAGTAGATTATAGAAAGGGAAGGTATTAGCACCCTTTCTATCCATGGTTATCCATGGGCTCTTAGGTACTTGCTTAGATCAACTTGCCTTGGTTTTCAATTGTTTGAAATGGTGCTCGGTGTGTGACTTTTGAAAAGGTTTTGAAAAAGATGCCTTGTGTAGGCTACCCTTGTAACAATTCTTTACTCGAATGTTTTACAAAAGGTGTTTGTCTTTTTGAAAAGATGTTTCAAGGTTTTTTGAAAGTTAGTTTTGAAAGGTGTTTGTGAAGTGTAGTTTAAAAATAGGCAAGTGTTTTCTTTTGCAAATGGACAAGTACTTAAGGGTTATCTACCCTAAAGTTCTCAAAGATTTCTGTTTATGTTTTTAACCCTTTTAACAATTTTGTTCCACCATTGCATTTGGTGGACAATCTTGTATTAGGAGGTGAAAGGGATGGACGCGGGTAATCGTTTAGACCATAATTGCAATAGTGTTAAATGTCTTTGGGCAATTTTTTCTTTGAAAGGGACTTGATCATTTTAGGCAACTTTTCGAAAGCGTCATCGAGGGACTATGATCATTTGATAGTTTGTTTTTACCCAAAGAAACCTAACATGCAACATGGCCCAATTATTTGAAGGCAACAAAGTGGAATACCCTAGGGGTGCAAGTGTTATATGTGTTGTCCATATTTCATGCTTATTTATCTTGAAATTAGGTCAAGCTATTTTGTTCTTTTTATTTGCATACAAACCCTAACTCTAGCATGGTATATTTAGAAAGCGTTTAAAGTACGAAAAGTAAAATTCCTACACTATTACAACACAATATGGGAAAGGGGGTACAAATGTTCAAATGGGGGGATATTTAGACAAAGAAATTAAACCTAGCTATTACATCATTTTTTGGCATATTTACAAATAATTGATTGCATAATTTAAATGGGAAATAAAATAAAGATGCAAAATGCAAAAAGGGTTTTTATATGTATGAAAAAACTTATTATTTATTTTAAATAAATAAAAATAAAAAAAAGTATCATTTTTGGAGTTTTTTTGTATTTTAAGGGTAAAACCCTAATTTCATTAAATAAATATATTAACTATTTAATATGTATAATATTTAATAATTACATAAAAAATAAAATAAAATGGAGTATATTCATAAGAAAAGTATTTTTCACATCAAATATTAATAAAATAAAAATGTATGTATTTTAGTATTTTTGCCCTAAGTATATATATATATATATATATATATATATATATATATATATATATATATATATATATATATATATATATATATATATATATATATATATATATATATATATATATATATATATATATATATATATATATATATATATATATATATATATATATATATATATATATATATATATATATATATATATATCTTTATTATTTATTAAATAAATACTATATATATAAAAATAATAATATTTAATATTTATATAAAAAAAGTATATTTTGTATAAAATATTTTCAAAAGGGAAAGTGTAATAAAATCAGAAAAGAAAGTATATTTATATTATTTTTTCTATTTATTCTAAATAATATATATATATATATATATATATATATATATATATATATATATATATATATATATATTTATGTACAAATAACTTAAAATAAACAAATAAATGCCTATAAATTCAAAAATGGTGAGAAAAATAATTTTTATATTTTTTATAT